CGCTCCAGTCGGCTCTTTCAACTCCTCTTCAAGCTCCTCCATCTCCGCCGCCGTCACGTTCGTCGGCGCAAGTTGCGCGTATAGGTGGAAGCTGCACTTGCTCACAGGAGTATCGCCGTCTTGCCCATTGTTCCCGTCTACGGAGAGTAGGTCCGGTGTAGCGAGCATCTCCTTGATGTGCTTGATGCGCGCTTGGAGCGTGGGCAGTACAGCGCGTGCCGTGGCGTTACGCGCCGCTTCGGGTACAAGAGAGGGAATCTCGCGGATATCGATGGACGTCCTGGGCGGAGAGGCAAACGCGTAAATGGACCCGTTGTTGAGGAAATGTACGCCGGCGAGGTCGAGGCGCATCTCCTCGTCCGTATTGGCGTCCGTGAGCTCGATGTGGCCCTGGATCGGCTGAATATCCTCCGCGCCCTCGACCAGCTTCTTCTGCTCCTCGTCCAGCTCCTGCGTCTTCTCCAGCGCACTGATCGCCACGCGCTCCACCGCCGTCCAGTTCCATGTCCCGATCTTCTCCAGCGCCAGGGTCATGTTCACACCCTCCATCAGTCGGGCGACGTCTGGCGCCCATGGCGGTATCGAGTCGTGAAGTGCGTGGGGGGATATGTTGTAGACGGCTGATGGGCCGCGGATGAAGCCCGTCACGTTTGGATAGTACGACTGTAGCTCTGGGTCTACCACGACTCCATCGGGTTGTAACTTGTGTATAAGCGGCGTCTCCGCCTCCGGTAGCACTGGCTATATCCTTTCAATACACGTTCATATATAAATACACGAATTACAGCCACCATAGTAAAGTTCGGACTGGCAGTCCCATTAACCCAAGCCGTAAAGTTCCCATACTGCCACTCCAAGCTCTGCAACGCCGTCGTATATCTCAGCCTCAACATCGAGTCGTCCCCTCCGTTCGAGTTGGTGATCATGAAGAACAAGAAGGACATGAAGAAGAAGCTAGAGAGCGAGCTGCGCGGTCGTGCGCCGAGGCCGTTGTTCGCGTTGTCGTCGGCATCGGGCTCGGCCGCGGGCGCAGGTGCGGGCGCAGGATTAGGGTTGGGCGCGGCGGGCGCCGCTGGAGCGGGTGTGCTCATACAGCACTATGGGTATGTGTGTTGTCGAAATACGAATAAAGATCGGGAGGTGGAAGTATGAAGCAAGACAGTCGCGTTGCGGCGCGTGAACGCGTCGTTGGGCCGAGTGCCCCTATCCCGGTCCTGCCACGAGGTCTGCTTCGGGCGAGCTTCGGCCTTCAAGGCGTTGCTCTAGTAGCTAATGCTCTCTACTCTTTGTCTTTCACTTGTATACGTTTTATATCCCAAGAGTAGTGAAATTATAATATACCACTACCAGCACCTCTACTTCTCATCACTCCCTTTACCGCTAGATGTCCGTCTCGTACCATCCTCCTTCTCCTTGCCCTCAACGGCCGGCCCGAACTCGACCCTCTTCCCATCCTCCTTGCCCTTCTCCTCGTCTTCCAGCTCCTTGAGCTCTTCCTCCAGCATTTCATCCGCTACAGCCTGCGCGGCGTCCCTCCACGGGACCCACCAATACTGCATCCCGTACTTCCAGTACAGGTATCCGAAGGCCGCGCCGCCCAGATGCGCTACGTGATCCAACCCGAGCCTGTTTAAGCAAAACCATGAGTGAGAGATCTTGACCCAAATATGACGAGCTTCTCTTACCTCCACGCCGTGACAGCACCAATCGCGTCAAACGCGACCAACCCAAGGAACGCCGTAGACACATGCATAGTAAACGGCAAAAACAACAAGCTAACCTCCCCCGTCGGAAACGCCATAGCCGTCAGCCCCAAACACGCATACACCGCCCCGCTCGCGCCCAGCCCCGGCAAAATCGCCCGCGTAGTCTTGCTCAGCGTCTTCCCGACCAGCCGCGGCCACACGAAGCGCGCGGAGAAGATGTGGGAGACTAGGGAGGCGAATGTGCCGGCGGAGAGGTAGAAGGCGACGAAGTGGTAGAGGTTGGTCGCTTCGGGGAGTTCGGGGGCTGTACGGGATTCGGAGACGGTCATCCAGTGGGAGGTTGTGGATGCGAAGCCGACGAGGGCGATGTTGTTTACGGCCATGTGGATGAAGCCGTTGTGACTGTACACTGCATCAGCCCTGACGTTCTCTCTCAATATGGTGTATGGAGCTTCTCACCTGAATACGGACGTGACCAGTGTATGCCATCGCCCGCTCAACGGATCATGCAAGAAATGTCTATGCATGAACGGTCTCAAGCGCGGGACCTTCCACATCAACCATACGCCAGCGTTCAGCGCGCATATAACATATGCTGCGCGTTTGCCGTCGTTCGAGTTGAGCCATTGTTGAGCGAGGGTAACATGCGTGTTGGATATGAAGGCTTTGAGCAGCAGAGGGAGGTTTGATTCGCGCATTTGCACCGCGGTCTCTTGCATCTCCTGTTCGCATATTCCTCGTATGAGTTCAGACTTCGGGGCGACTAGGCCGTATAACGCACCTTCGCCTCTGTTTTCAGCCGAAGCAGCCTCAAATCGCCCGACGTAGGCTGCGGCGCCCCAAAGAATATACTCGTCAACCCCGGCCTCTGCGGTCCCCCAGCCTCATCCAACCGGTCAAGCCAATAATCCGCATCGTCCTGCGTCCTCTCCGCACACGTCACATACAGCAGCATCATAGCAATGCCCGATATCTGTGCAGCAAAAAGAAAAGAAAGAGGATATCACGTCAACGTCTGCGCATACTCAATACACCTGACCGCGTAGAGGGATATACACTCACGAAGATGTGCCGCTTCCAGCTCGGTGATCGGAGCGTGTCGGAGAGAGAGGGCGCGGGCTTTTCTTCTGCTATTCGTTCTTTGAGAGAGGGTAGAGGTGCGGAGTCTCGTATTCGCGAGCTGGACGCGACAGTGCGGAGTGTAGGTCGGATATTAGGGTGTAGTTGTAGGCGGGAGCGCGTGGCGCGTAGGCCAGTAGTGGCTAGGCGCGAGCCGAAGAGTAGATGGTTCATATTGATAAGTGCGAGTAGGGCATGTCAGAGTGGGTTTGATGAGGACGGTGACCGTAAGTAGAAGGCAAATGGCGAGCTGGACGCGTCGAGGGTGCGAGCACACGGCTATGACGCGCGTCATGTCGGCGGGCCTGAAGACGCGTCTCTTGCCTCTGCCCATCATGTGCAATGCAGAGTAGCACATTATGACCAATACTTTCTGCTCAGACGTGGCTACGAAAAGTCTGACCGCTGTCTCTATGCGCTCTACTCAAACGTATGGCAATGACACAAGTGCCACAGCTGCTGTATCTCGATGCAGTCGCGTCTACACCAAGACAGTCCCTTCCGCAACCTTGGCGACATTGCCAACCAGCCTCACGACTCATTCCTCACCATCATATCCAAGCCATGGGTCTCCGCCTCTCGCACTGACCTCCAGTATAGTGCTCGGTGGGCTTAGGCCGGGCTGTGAAGACGTGGATGAAGAAGTCTGTGCTTCTGTGTACGATGTTAGGCTGGGTTCGGCGAGTCGGCTGATGCAAGACATAGTTGATCTTCGGCTCTCTTAGGTTCTCAACATCGAGCTCGACGAGGCAATATATCCCCTACGATCCTCTCGCAGCGCCGAATCATACGACGCCGATCTCGGCACCCACGGCTGCATCCACGGCCGCGCGCAGCTTCGCCGCTCGATCGGGTGTGGTGAGGATTATGACTGCAGGGTTGCCGCCGAATAGTCAGGTGGTGAAGGCGTTGAGTATTCAGAAGGGTAGCTTGAGAGGTGTAGACACGGCAGATAAATATGCGTATGGAGTAGCATCCTGTTTCGGCCGAATTTATACAAAATCGGGGATTCCGGCTTTGTGTGAAATGCTGTTAGCTCGGTTAGGCTTCGGGGCTACCATTACATTCCGAAGGCCCAAGGGATACACACGAGGTCTCCGAACAGGTCACATTATAGTCGGAAGTGTTGCCATCGATACACGAGGCTACTATAGTGCGCGATGAACACGCCGCGCGAGGCGGTGTCACGGCGTGAGCTCGAGCGACCATGATCATGGCCTCGGACGGCCGTCTTGTCTCCCGCAGCCAGCGTAACCCTCAGGCTGTGCATGCCTCTTATTCACACAACAACGAACCCTATATCTCTTCTACCTCATAGCGAACGTGCTCCTTGACTCCTTGCCACCGTGCTTTGGACCACGACCACCCTGTACCCTACCAGACGAACGGCTCAGCTTACCGTCACGTTGAGCTCTAGCTATGAGCTTGGACCAGAACTTATTTACATTGAACGTCATCCCCGATGCGGCGAATCCCGCATTCACAGACTTGGTGGACCCCAGTGGCGAGGCGCACTACAAGAAGGAGAGGCTCAGCGAGCCACCATACAGGATGAATCTGTACGGTGCGTCCAACCACGATGCCCCAAACAGCATTATACTAAGATTCCATACGCGCAGACCCGCACTCTGAGGCCCTCCTCGCATCGGCCACCGCCCCGGACGCCTCAAGCAAGACGAAGATAATCGAACTGCACAACCCGCCTCTAGCAGTCGAGCTTCGTTCTATCGGCACGATCTCCTTCAAATGGGGCTTCAAATGGGAAGAGTACGTTTAGTCCGTGCGACTATCTTTGTCCGCCGATGCTCATGCGCGCTCTAGCCACGACTTTGAATGGAAACGCGAGAACTGCTTCATGGTTCGCAAGCCCGACCCAGATGTGCTCGTAGCGGTCACGAAGGAGCCGCCGGGCCGCCTCCGTACAAGCGCTGTACAGATCCTCGACTACAACCTCAACCGCTTCGACATCAACGACCGCAAGGGTCTCGAGATCGTCATCCTCACCGCGCTCCTCACCTTCCACGACCTAAACGCAGCATTCAACTCCGTCCCTCCTCCCCCATACACCGCTCTCCCACCTACAACATCCCCTGCACCCACGCCCCCACCGCCACCGCCTAAACCCGAGCCAAAGACCGGTATCAACCGCATAGCCGAGATCCAAGCCGCGCGTGGCGAGATCAACGAAGTGACAGTCATCGACGAAGGCTCCGTAGAAGACTACGCAGCCTACGGTGCCCAGCTCCTCGCGGACGACGCGATGCTCTTCATCTCCGTGCGCTCGGACACAGCCGAACAAGTACCCAAAGTCCTCGCTGTCGTCGAAGAGCTCAAGCGGCAACGACATAAAGCGGGGCTCCCGGACGACGGGCTGCATCAGTATGTCGTGTACGATGTGAAGCAGCCGAAGAGGATCAATTTGGACGATCCGCCCGCGGGGGCGTCGAAGGAGTACAAGCCGCCGGACAGTCTTATGATCCATCTCAGTAAGATCGATATGCCTGAGCTCAAGCCAAGGCCGAACCTGGACAGGCAGGCCACTCGTGCAGGTACGTACATAGCTCTCTCTCAGAGCCATTCGCTATTGATACTGATGCAATGTACAGCAAAGCAGCGCACGCCGCCTACAACACCGAAGGAGCCTTGCCCGCAGCCAGCCTCCGCCTCAGCCACCCCATCACTCTCATCCCGCCTTCTCAAGTCACGACGTTCCCCATCACAACCCTCAATGCCTTCCCCGAACCCTCCAGCACCTCATGCCCCTCATGGTTCATCGCGTCCACCTGTACCTTCGTCATCGTCTCGACCTTCGCCACCGGCAGGACGTCCCACACCAAGCCCATCATCACGGCCAAGTCCGGCGCCAGGCTCTTCGCGGCCGTCCGTCTCACCACGGCCAGGACATAGACCTTCGCCGTCGCAGCTCAATAATCCGATTGTATATGTCGGAGAGCCTGCGGCGAAACGAACTTCGTTCTGGAAGCGTTGACCACCCAGGCCCGCGGGCATGTCAGAGGAAGTGTTTCATATGGGCGTATCAACGGACAAGTATTCGATATATCATGTAATTTTATCGTTAATGCTGGGTGTATGCGACACCAGCATCGACTGTGCTAGAGTCTATCCCGGAGGCCATGGGCATGCGGCGCTTATCGCGGTGTCAGGCAACCTCGCCCGAGCCGCAACCAGGTAGTCCACTTGCTCCTGCAGCTTGGCAAGAATCTCCCGCACCTCCTTCTGATATTGTGGTCCAATGAAGAGTGGATAGCGCTCTTGCTTGTATATCAGTCTTTTGAGATGGGGAAGATGAAATGTTCCGTTCGGTTGGAGGACTGCTAGTGACCTCAGCAATCCAACCTCGGCGTTCGCAGCTGTGGCCGGCTCGACGTAGGGTGGCAGGATGACATGCAGTGTCTCCACTGCGCACAAGTCGGGTAGCATACTGCGTAAATCAAGGGAAAAGAGTGCACTGTATTTGAAACTGGCGGTGACGACGGGACTGAGACCACAGTGTACGCGCCAACGGGCGTAAAGCGCGACGACGCTGCGAAAGAGGACGTCCACCTCTACGAGCTGGATATCAACGACATCAATATCGTAGACTACGTTCGAGAACTGCAACTCGACCCCTTTCGATTGCGAAGGATCCCATTCACCCGGTCCTTCTGGACCTGGTTGATCTGCATCCCGGCGCTGATAGGATACAAGGTCGCCGGCGTCGGAGCAATGGAGCTCACGAGGGCTCATAACCAGTATGAGATTCTCTTCTGGGTCATCCCTGGTCAAATAATGAGCGGCCAGATTGCCAGAGTTCTGAATGCAAGGGCACGACGGCCCGTTGATCAGGATCCAATCTATGACTTGAAGGGCGTCGGATAATGATTGCGGTCCGCAAGAGTTCGTAATTGACACTGAGCAGAGCGAAGGTGTTTCTATATGTCTGCACAGTGCTAAATAGTCCGTCCAGAAGGGCGGCCGGAGTAAGGACATGCTCTTCAGGGAGCGGAGTCGTACTTTGCGGCCCGTACGTTCCTCGGTGTCCCAGACTGTCGGCATCCATTGGACCATAAGAAGCATTTGGAGGGTTTCCCCTGCTTCAGACAAGAAGTCAAGAAACCGGGCGCTTGTGATGGGGTTGTCGCTGAACGACTCCCCGAATATGCGCAGGTCGGTCAGTTGTCGGCCCGGGAACGCTATGAACAGTCGATGGAGTGACAGAGCACGAAGATTGGGACAAAGTGGTCGGTCGAAGATGGTCAATGGGTCCACCGGCCTCCGATCTTGATCGAAGGGGGCGCAATTATCGGCCAAGGCGACCCTCTCCAACATCGGGAAGGTTTGTGCGGACAGCGCTTGAACGAGACGTTCGTAATCCTTGGGGTGCGGAGTGCACAGATCAAGGCTACGGACTTGAGGTAATAAAGCGAGATAGTAGTCAAAGAGAGGTGTAGAAGATATATTCCATGATGCGCCGAAGTGTGCCGGATCGGTAAGATATCTGACGGTCAATGGAGCGGCTTGGGCTCTCCGCCTGATTGTCTGGACGCTGCCATGACTACTGAAGGCGCTGACCGCTCGCGCCCAGAGAGTAGCAAAGGATGGTATCTCGTGACGCCAGATGGAACACACGTGAGTTGTCTTTATCCATCCCAAGTCGAAGCGAGAGGCGGGACAGAGTATAGCCACCGTTCCGATGACACGATACAGAATGTCGGGCGGGAGACGCAGGATGGGTAGCGAGTAGTTAAGAGAGGGGTCCGTTTTTGTATGCTCTTCTGAGGATTCCAGATTCGTCGCTATGGCCCTTCAAGAGAAATCAGGACGCCGAACATCCAGGAGGATGCAGAGACGCGCACCTTGAACCAGCAAGTTCCTCCCCGACAGCTGTGAGACATAAACGACCACTGTCAGATTCCGTCATGAATTTGGAGCTGTATCGCTAATCTGATAGCGGATGTTCCCAGTCGAGTAATATTTGCGAAAAATAGTATGTGGTATTGTGGTGGTCGAGAGCAAGGCGTGAGATGGCCCGGGCAATGACATCCACCATCCGCGCGTTGCTCTTTACTTCTAACTACCATGCGCCCCCCGCCCCCCGCCCCCCGCGCGTATTTGATGGAGTCAGCAGTTCTTGTACTCAAGCTCTGCACTTGGTGTACGGCGTGAAGTACCCGAACACCGAAGGAGCCCCGAGTCTCTGCATGATGGCCTTCCCCACACGCCCAAAACCTACCAGTATCCCAGTACCTTCGCCATCATCTCAACGCCACCAGGACGATCTACCTCAAGCCCATCGTCATGCCGAGCGTTGGCACCGAGCTCTTCTTGAGGGCCTGCTTCGCTGCGATCTAGACAGAAGTTGCCACACTGTCAACTTGCCAATCTTTCTCATCACGGAAACGCCAACGAACATTATTTTTCGGGTTTCGTGAAAGGATCGTATGAATATGTATCATGTATGCGTTGCTCGGTACTCAATCACACCTGCGTCTGCCCTACTACATACAGTCTATCGGCATCGCATTTCAAGCGCAGATTCACGTGCTATGTAGACTGCATGTCGCGTACGCTGATCGGCGTACCATGCGAAGCCCGAGATAGTGCCAAAGACTCAAGTTGTTCCTGCACCTCCGCTCGCCCTGCTAACGTTAACCCGAAGAATGGTGCATCCACGCGGTAAGCTACCGCTTGCAGGAGGGGAAGAAGGAAGGATCCATCCAGCTCAGGCATTGCAAGAGCCCCCAACACCCCTCGAGTACTGTTATCCTGGTCCTCCATCGATTGATGGGTATATGAACGCATTGCTAAACAGAGATGGAGCGTTTTTACTGCATTCAAATCCCGCAACAAGTCGCGTGCATCCATGGACAAGAGATGTCCGGATCGGAGGCCGAGGATCTCCAGTGGACGAAGGCTCGAGCGCACGCGCCAGGAGGCATACCGTGAGATCACTACGCGAAGTAGATCTTCAGAGTCGATCGGTGCATGTGTGTCGTTTACGACAAGTGGAAACACCAAGTCGACACCCGACTGTGTGTCGCTTCCGCGGGACAACATACGATTGGGGTTGAAATCATGGCTATCCATGTGCACAGCGATTTTCTGGGTAATCCCGTTCTCTTCGTGGTAAACTGCGAGCTGAATGGCGTCCTTATTACAAGGACATGCCTGTCCGTTCGTGCATACCCAATCCAGAACCCCGAGGACGTCAGACATGGTATGTGGCTCGTGAGAGGTTTCCAAGTTCATCATAGCAAGAGCAGGTGTTTGTAGAAGTTTGCATAGCTTGGGGTAGGCCACTTCGCTTGAGGGAGAAAGCAGACTCAACTTCCGAAGGCCGGGAAGCTGCACACGCCTCTCTCTGGGCACCTCCCAGATGGTAGGCAACCAGTTAAGCAAACAGATCTCTTCGAGCGTTTCGGCCGATTGTGAGAGCATGTCGAGGAACTGGGATCCGGTGATTGACAGCGGGTGGCGACGAGTCCCGCATAATATGATGCTGGTCAAGCGCGTGCTCGAGAATGTAGCGAAAACTCCGCGAAGCGATAGGCTCCGCAGATTTGGGCAGACGATAAGGTTGTTCAACGCCGCGGTAGATGCTCGGCGTGGCTCAACCATGGTTGAAAAAGAGATGCCAGCGACATTCTCCAAAGCGATAGTCTCCATCAGCGGTAGGTTCTGACGGGAAAGGGCCCGGATTAGATGCTCCATGTCCTCGGACTCCAGGGTCAGACCGAGCGTGCGAACTCGCGGTAAGATCTCAAAGTAGAGACCATGTAGTCGCACATGCCGTGGTTGTCCAAAAGGACTCTGGCGGGGACTAAGTGACGGATTTGTGACCGTCAATGGAGCATCTCCAGCCCTCTGTGAGATGATTTGAAAGCTTTCAGGGCTGGCAAAGACCCCAACTTCACGAGCCCAGAGGGCAGCGAAGGATATGATTGCCTGACGCCAAGCAGTGCACACGTGAGATATCTTCATCCACCCTAGATGATTAGGGGTAGCAGGGGTGGATAAAGCCAGCAGATCCGCGACTCGATAGAGGATCTCAGTTGGGAGGCGTAGGATGGGCAAGGAACTGGCTGTGTTGAGAGAGCCCGGCTGGATGCCAGCGATAATCTGCAGGCGACGCCGATCGAGCTCAGCCATCAGGGTCTGCGATATGGCCTCCAAGTCACGCAAATGCTCTAATGAGGCGTCAACGGCCATAATTATGCTTCTCCCATCAGCGTATGACTTCGACTGTATGGATGTTAAAGACGCAAGGTCGGCCCTTCGCGTTAGATTCAGAGTAGTTTCTATAGCCTCAATCTCGCCCTTCATATCATTTATAGCCAGGTGATCACCCCTGTGCGGCTCTCTATAAGGACTTGACAACAAGACGCCGAGAAGGCACGCACCTCGTTCCACGTTGATCGCGGGTATGTGTCCCACCAAGTACGCCCTCATCCGACCCTCTCTCCATGACTTCTCTAACGATGGCATCCATGGCGGTGAAGACGTTGAACGGTCGCAAGTAGAATATGGGCGCGTAGCTGATGGTGGTATGGTGAAGAGTGAAGTGAACAGTCGAACCATCTTCGGGTCGCTGATAAGCGACTGATAAGATCACAGATCTCATCAAGCTCGTGTTTATTTCCTGAGTCTCACGCCTTTGACGACGGTGCTCGTTTGTGTATCGCCAAGACTAATACGAAGGGGGCTTTCATGATATGCAGGCGGCGACCGGAGGTGCAACTGATGGCCCGGGTCGCCTGACGCCACCTGGCGGTCGGCTCCGAGATGATTCTTGCGAATAGACCTCATCTGTATTCCGCCATCATGGTCGTCTCGTTTAGCCAACGATACCATAACGCCGGCGTAAGCCTGGCCGTCCCCCCTCCTCGAAGTCGTTGTAGCCGGTAAAGGTCATGCGTATGTCTACCTTCATCGAAGCCTTCTCGGGAGCACGTCACTCATATTGGCACGCTCTTCCTCACACCTCATAGGCGCCGAGCACCTGTCACATCTACAGAACCTACGGAATCTCCCTCACAACTCTACGTCCCCATCCCGCTCCATATCTCGAAACGCGACCGTCCGTATCTTCGCCTGACCGTCTCAGCTTCGCGGGGCGAGTTCGATGAAGCAGTGTCGTCAACTGTCGTTCAACACTTCGCAAGCTTTGGAGAGTAACTCTTCGTGGACGATGTCATAAGCGGGACCTCTGGGATGGCGGTTGGATGATGCTCGCACTAGGATGCCGAGGAATAAAGGCCATCGGATAACCTCTTGCATTATTATAAGCGTCAATTGGTGGTCGACGCGTGCAGGTATGCATCATGCCTCTGGCCGCCCGTCAAGGCACTCACTTCTACCAGAATAGAGTCCCGTATCCTGTCAGCAACATCTGAGGAGTCTGCATCTACTCCCCTTGCACCTCGTGCATGCCGCTCTCTATAACAACATCCATCGCTCTGAATCTGCCAATGCCCCATCCTCCCCCGGTCACGTCGCGTTTGTCTGTACCATCGCTTTCACCTTGTCTTTGCCATCTGTAGGACGGCCCATTGGATGGCTATCGTCGCCTTTGGGTTCAATGGCGCTTCTCAGCGACGATCCATGTCACCAAGACCACATAGACCGCCGTCTGGTTCAGTCGACAGATCTGCTAACCTTGTAGCTACGATGTAGAAGCAAGCCTCAATCCTCATTCATTTCCGAGCCAAAGGCTGCCTAATCTTTCACATGCATGTAACATGGATACCATCCAATGACATATATGTGACCCAACGTCAACATCTCGGCCGCGGCAATGATCAATCAGCAGTCCGATCGTCTATGCTGACCGTCATCCCGTGCGACCCCCGCGCCTTAGCCAGGCGGTCCAACTGTTTCTGCATCCTGTCGCGTTGTTCTACGGATAGCGCCGAGTGCTCGTAGGGTATCGATCGTAGGCGAGGCAGCAGGAAAGACCCATCTGCTTTAGGGGAGGCGAGAACGTGCAGAATACCTTCGCTATGATCCTCGTCTTCGCCCGGTCCGATGGTTCCCCAACGCTCACGAACCTCCTGTGTCAAGTAAAGATGGAGGGTCTCTATTGCATCTAGGCCTTCGAACATATTCCTGGCGCTTATGGACAACAAGTCTTTCGATTGAAAGCTGATGGTCTCCAAAGGACGAAGGTTTGCGCGCGTGCGCCAAATGGCGTATCGTGCCGCAACAGCATGGAAGAGGTCTCCAATATCAACCGGATCCCTCATCCAGAATAAAAGCTCTATTCCCGACGGATCGGTGCAGTGCAGACGAGTGCGTCCGTAGGAAACTCGAAACTCCGCGGAGGATATGTCGGCTATGCGATCGGGGTCGAATTTGGGACCGTCCGTGTACACGCAGAGGTTCGTTCCTTGCAAGGTGATCGCAAGTGAACGCGAGGACGCAACACAAGGACCCCCGCTTCCTGCCGAGAGTATCAACTCTAGAATTTCAAGCACCTCCGAAGCCGTGTTAAGTTCGGCCATTGGTGGAATATGTTCCAGGCTCAGCGAGACAAGAGCGGGCGTTTCTATCCATTTACAGAATTTCGTGTAGGTCACGGTTGCCACTGGTGATATCATGACCATGTGCCGAAGAGCGGGCAGCAGCACCCGTCTATCTTCGGGCTCGTCCCAGACACTGGGCAACCAAGAGTCTAAGTGCAGTGTCTCGAGAGTGCTAGCAGACGCCAAGAGAAAGTCGAGAAACTGAGGCCCAAGGATGGGCACTAGCCCATCGTTATCATATCCGCGTATTGACAGCTTGACTAAATGCTCGCTCGAAAATGGTATGAAGGCAAAGTCGACGAATGACATATCTCGCAAATTTGGGCACATGATGGACCCGATGCTGGTAACGAGATCTCTTAACTCTTGTACAAGTACAAGAGGGCGAGACAAGTCTGCCAGTTCCAAGTTAATTTGTTCCAACATCGGCAGACTCCTCTTGGAAAGGGCTCGGACGACGGACACAATATCTCCGGATGTTAGTATTAGGTCGAGGTACCGGACTTGAGGCAGGAGCTCTAGATAGACATCATTCAGAGGCTGATCTGGACATCCGCGGGAATCAGAAAGGAGGGGCGGTAGATTGGTGACTGTCAATGGAGCACCCCTAGCCCGCCTCAAGATCGTGCGTAGGCTGTGGGGGCTGTGGAAGGCGCCAACTTCCCGGGCCCAGAGGAAAGAGCAAGAGATGATTGCCTGGCGCCATGCAGAGCACACGTGGCTTGTCTTAATCCACCCTAGCTCGGACGGGGAGGTCTGGTATAGTGACGCCACTATATCTATGATTCGACACAGGATCTCGGATGGGAGCCTTAGGATGGGCACGGATTTGGGGGTGTTGAGGGAGTCTGCAGGAGTAGCGACAACAATCTGCATGCGACGGCTGCAAATCTCATTCCTCAACCTTCGTGCGGACGCCTCCAGTTCGTCCAGGCGGTCCAAAGAAGTGTCAATGGACATGATCGTGTTCCTCCCGTCGGCGAATGAATGCGACTGCAGAGATGCGATGGATAGCATATCGATGTTTTTGACCAGATCCAGGGTAGCTTCAAGAGCACGTATATCACCCTTGATATCGTTTAGCTTTGGGACGTCGCCACTGTTAAGTTCGTCGTTGAGACGCGAGACTACGATGCGGTGTCTAGTGAATGCGCACCTCGGTCCACGCTGCGTCTGGTTATGCGTTGGACTGGACGCATTTGCGCTCGACTCGCTCTCCATAGTCCTATGTAACAAGCGTATGTGATGGTCTTCCCGCTGGGTAGATTCGGGATCCGCGGGCAATGGTGGTCAAGGGTGAGGGATGCGAAACCCGATCAGCACACCTCGGCACTGACTGATAAGATGATCACGATTGCGGATCCAAAAATCTTATCAGGACCACATGATCGCGAGTGATTAATCCACGTCTCTGGCGGCTGGCATGTGGTATTTGTGGGTACTAACGACATCATAGACCGAAAGAGCCTTGAGAAATGTACGTGGCATGACTTCAACCACATGTAGCTATAGGTATTTTAAATGTCGATATCCGCAGTGGAAGCCCTCCTTAGCTCAGAGATTTGCCCTTGTCAGAGTCCTCGATGCCTTTGTTTGCTCACACAAGTAGCACATCATCGCCTCCTTAACCTCATGCAGCCATTCCTGCACGTCTTCCTCTGTATATACGTTCGCATCGAAGTAGATGAAGACCTGCAGCCTTTCTTGGATCGTCGCTGCTCCAAGGTAGAGTTCGGCTGGTCGACATCGAAGGTACATGCGCGATTGAAGGCGACGTAACCGAGTCTCTACCGGCCCATCATCCCGTTTGACTGGAAAGAAGTATGGACAATAGACATCAACCTAAGCAGATTGAACGATAGGTCCAATCACGTGAAGAGCGGCTCAAGGACGTACGTTTCCGATACTTGATCCGCTATGCAAATACACGCCTGGTTCACGGCCCACATCGCCGACTTCGAAGCAGCCATCAATTTGCGCTGTGCCGGCACTTTTGCGTCGAAGCGACATTGCTGCGGACCGCGTCCTCGCAATTCGAGGTGGGAGCATAGCGCGGTTCATCTCCAGCAGCAGCGGATGGCGCTGATATGCTTCAACCTCCCGTCGCACGCCTCGAGCGCGGAGCCAGAAGCGCGCTGGTGATAGGGTATCCGAATAGCGTCCACTCGTGCCAGCGTCCGGCATGAATGGCATCTTGGCATACCAAGTGCCGACGGTAGTGACAAGAACGGTTTGGCCGGCCACCACTTTCCAGGATGTCTCCAAGTGGGGACGCAGATTCAGCGGGCCGGTTGTCCTCGTTGGTGTTGTGCGTCGTCGATTCCACTCCGCTTTCGAAAGCAAGCCTACCTCAACGCGCCGGTGTAGCATGCGCGATGCGGCAAACTGTCCGACCACGGCAAGGGCTTGTCCTAGCGTGGCGCCCTGCGCGCGGCACGTCACAACCGCAGCAGCAGTGGCTACGGGATCCAGCCATGTTCGTATGACACGAGATAGCGCAGGAGTATGGGGCGTATATGGCGTACGTCTGTCCGGGATCGTCTGTCCGCCCTCGAGAGCTGCGAAACGCCGACGCATGATGACACTGCCTATGGCACGTTTCCAACGTAGACGTGGAGTCGGTGTAGACGGACTGGCATGCAGTGAGTCGCAAAATGGCACCATCGCTAGTCGTGTAGCCAGATCCGTGGATGGAGACTCCAGCGAGTCTGGCCATCGCGAGAGGAGATCGCAGAGCGTGTTCAAGAGAACGAAGGATGATATCCCGTCGAAGATTAGATGTGCGACGGTCACCACAAGATCATATTCTGTCTCCGAGCGGCGCAAGACCGTGATGGCAGCGGGGAGGTCCCGCGAGAGGCAGCGGGGAATCCCGTTGACACCGCGTTCTATGACAGCCTGGGTCTGATCTTCGTCCGCATGGGCAACATATTCGAATGTCCCGGGTACGATGGTGTTTATGCGATCCTCAGAGACGACAAACAATAGCTTGTCGCCCCCAGAGCACTCTTCGACGTGAGCTGCAAGAAGGGGGTGGTGTTGCTTCGTCGCGATCCAGATTGCGCGAAAGCGTGCCTCGTCCGCGTCTGGATCGTCGATGCGAAGAGCCGGGGATGTGAACATGATGGTGTTGTGGTCTGTTACATCTGCCGTACCGTTGAACTCGCCGTCCCTACCAAAACATCAGTATCTTGTGAAACGTTCAACATCCTTCGCACGTACCAGTAGAAACACGTCTCCATGAGGCCCAGAAGGCGAGTGAACTGGCGTCCTCCGGACGCGTCTTTGACGGAAAGCTCGGTCCAAAATGCGTCGCTCATCTAGCCTGAACTCCAGTATCTCAGTACCAGAGGTAGTGGGTGTAGAAAGGAGATAGCTTACAAGCACCGCCGGATAGACATGTCTACTTCCAATGTTATACCGGACCGCCGAGCAAATGGGGATAGAGCAAGGTATAACATCCGCATGTCGTTGTCAATGAAAAGTGCAGCAGATCCCGCGCAGTCTTCCAGAGACTGATAGAAGCACCCGGTATTGAATGGCGCAGAGTCCAGCCCGTTACATCGTGAGAGGAAGCAAAGGCGACATGATTGATGATACGCGCCACGCCGCGCTGGCTTCAAGTTGACCCAGGTAAGAATAGGTTCACAAATGGAACTACAAACCCGTAGTTGAGAGGTGTTAAGCAGATGGGCGTGCCGTAGGGCGAGGATTATTGCCGAAGATAACAAAGCGCGAGGGTGGGCGTTCGAAACAACGAGTCAACGACGCGTCTGGCCGCCGACAGGGTCGCTCACAGGGACACCGGCAAATGCCGCGAATGCGTAAGTATACTCAATTGCTGCTTCTCCTCATAGCAATGATTGTAAGCGCTACGACGGAAATCCAAATGAGAACATGTGAATAGCCACTACCCAAGTAAGATTAGATATATAGTATAGTCACAACCGCGCCTTCACTGCACTTTCTCTAGGCTCTACGCAGAGATAGCTAACCAGTGCCTTCCTGACCTCGTCCAACCACTCCTCAACATCCTTCGCATCATACACGTTCTCATCATAGAAGATGTATACATGCAACTCGCCCTTCACGCTCGCCGCACCGAGATACAACTCGGCCGGTCGGCAACGGAGGTACATCTTCGACCGTACGCGATGCAGTGTCTCGACTGCTGGCTGGCCCTCCTGTTGTGGCACCGGGAACGAGAACGGGCACAAAGGGTCGACATTCCCGATGCTCGAGCCACTGTGTAAGAACACAGGGAAGTCTCCATCTTTTGGCGCGGGATCCGGTACCACCGCGTTCTCGCTCACCTTCCCCTCCCTCAACGCTTTCGCAGCATTTCGACATCTCTCGATCCTAGCTGGTTGCGCCGCGCTACTCATCTCCAAGAATAGCGGATGCCGATGATACGACTCGGCCTGCTTTTTGACCATGCGCGCACGATACCAGAACCGGCCGGGTGTGAGGGCGTCGGCGTCGGGCATGTAAGGGAGTTTTGCGAAGAAGAATCCGATGGCGAGTACGAGCTCGGTGTGCCCGCCCGCTGCGAGCCATCGTGGAGCGAGGTGCGGACGGAGGTTCAACGGCCCGCCAGTGCTGGTTGGAGTCCTACGGCGCGCATCCCATTCTTCCTGTGAGACAAGACCGGCTTCAAAGCGTCTACGCACAACGCGCGAGAGGGCAAGTTGGGCGGAGACCGCCAATGCGTGTCCCAATGTGACGCCCTGCGCGCGGCAGGTGGCTAGGGCTTTGCGCGTATATGTGGCGTCGAGTGGAGGAGCGCGCGCGTCGCGAGAGATCGCAGGCGTAAATGGCGTCCGTGTGGACCGCTTGTTCGGAATTGTGTGTCCGCCATTCAAACGCGCGACGCGATTGCTGTTGATGATTGTAGCGATAGCACGTCTCCAGCGTAACCGTGCAGGCGACATGTCGTTCCGCGGATGCAACGAATCGCACGATGGTGCCATGGCGAGTCGAAGACGTAAGTCCGGCGCGGGGATCTCGAGTGATTGCGGCCAGCGCGAGAGCAGGTCGCAGAGCGTTCGCGCGACGAAGAACGACGACATGCCGTCGAAGATGAGATGCGCCGTCGTCATCACGAGGTCGTACTCCGTCTCTGAACGTCGTAGGACGGTGATTGCAGCGCAAAGATCGCGCGACAGGCGGCGCGGAATGCCGTTCCGGCCGCGCTCGACGGCAGTTTGGGTCTTGTGTTCGTCTCCCTCCGCAATGTACTCGAACTCGCCAGGCATGATCGTGCGCGTGCGCTGCTCGGCCACGACGAATGCCAATTTGTTACCACCTTCGCTCTCTTCGATGCGCGTGGCAAGCAGCGGAAGGTGCTGCTTGAGAGTGATCCAGACCGCCCTAAAGCGCGCTTCGTCTGCGGCGGCATCGTCGATACGAAGAGTCTGAGATGTGAACGAGATGGAGTGGTGGTCCGTTACGTCTGCCGTGCCGTTGAATTCGCCATCCCTGTAAAGCAAGCATTCCTCAGTACCACAGCAGGTGAACGTCGATTCGTTGAACGTACCAGTAGAATCCTTCTTCCGTGGGACCAAGCAACCGCGAGAAGATGCGTCCTCCAGACGGGCGCTCGGCGGCAAGCTCAGTCCAGTCACCGTCAGTCAAAGCGGCCATCGCTGCAGCTGCCTTGATTGCGGAGGTCAAGAGCAGGAGCCAGCTGTGTGCTGCCGAGGACACACATCTCGTAAGAATTATTCCGGACCGGTAAAGTCAATAAAGCCAGGGACCGGTCGCGGCGCTGCGATGGCGGGCATGAGCATGCTGCTCCGGTCAGCTGCTACTCATGGGGCATGATTGCCGCTGCTTCGTAGAGAAAGAGTACTAGTTGGAGAACTGAATGGTGGCATGCGATTTCTACGCTACGAAATCCATACGATAGTGATGGGAGGAAGCAAGTCTGCTCTGATGGACGCCTTCAACACGCATCGGACCGAGCGGCCGAACCGCGATACTGCAGACGGAGTGCCGGACTTTGACCACATCCTGACCGCCAGCGACACACCCCGGACACGCCCCGATATTTCAATCGTTGCATGATGCGTTTACCGCACATACGGCACCGAGCGCCTGTATACCGCTCGTGTTCTCTTTCACTTGGTTCACGCGAAGCGAGTAGAGGTATCGAAAACGAATCCCATTGACCGGAAGCACGAAAAATACTGTAAGGTACTACGAGCCCCCCGACCAGCGCGGTATACCGTCCCACCAGAGACGAGACATCTATATGGACATTTTGGGTGTTTACTTGCCACCGGTCGTGCCCATGCCCATGGACGACTTGAAGGTGTCGTAGATCCACCACTGGAAGCCTGTAGTGCAGATATTCGTAAGCAAGGCGCTCGGGCATGATAGGCGCGCGCTTAAACGTACCGGTGAGGGTACCAATCATGACCACACGGGTCCCGAGACCCTTCGTGGCGAGGTTGCCGAAGCCGACCTCCGAGACGATCTGGCCGAAGCCCTTGCCGCGGTTCTCGAGCTTGCCCATCTGCGAGACGAGCGAGTCGGCCGGGTGGGAGACGATGGCGCAGACGACACCGGCGAGGTAACCGGAGGCGAAGGTGACACCGAGCTGGGTGCCCTTGCCGTAGGTGTCCTTGGGCGCGGTGAAGACGTGCGTGTAGAAGAGCTGGACGATCTTCTCGAAGAAGTAGAACTTGGCCATCGTGTAGGGGATCTGTTGAAACGCACGTGTGATGGTTAGTGTGGGTCAATGATCAGAGTGGATATTGCCACTAACCTGGCGCGACCAAAGGGGGACGAGCGAGCCGAAGGGGAAGCGGGTCTCAGCCTTGAGTGCGCTCATCTGGGAGAGAGCAGGGCCGAAAGCGACGGGGAAGGTGCCAGCAGGGCTCGTCTGGATCTTGACCTTCGCCATCTCAAGCGGGCAGAGAGCGATGTCGGCGAAGAACTCGGCAGAAGCCGAACCAGCGAGCCAGATCAGGCCCTTGTACTGCTCGCTGGCCTCCTTGCCGGCAAGGTTCATGTACTGGTCCTTGAAGACCTCGTAGAGACCGTACTTGAACATGCCCTGGAGAGAGTAACCGACAAACGTGGGGCCGAAGCCCTTCCAGACGGCACCAGAGCCCTCCTCAGCGGCGATGAGCTTCAAGCCAGAGATGGTACCCTTGTACTTTGCCGGGTTGACCTTTGCACAATAAATCAGGTCCGGTAAGTACTACGTCATTCGTTCGAGCGTACCTGCATGTTGCACTTGGCGACATCGAGCGGGGTGATACCTGCGTGCGTGATACCGCAAGCAAGGACACCGCCGAGCATGCACTTGGCGTAGTAAGAGCTGTCGTGGGGGACGGGGCCGAGGTAGCTGTTTATCGCTAGTCAGTATCTGGATTCACTGTCCAGCGCTAAGTCGAAATAATACTCACCGGGCATCCCACTTTCCGGGGGTGAGGTGAGCCATTGTTCGTGAATTAGCGGGAGATAGAGTCTATGGGTCTAATGGGAGGATATATCGACTGGATGGCCTGTCCGAGTCGAAGGGAAAGATACCGCGGAGGTGGTGGGTGGAGGTCAAGCGTGACGGTGCGCTGGCCGAACCGCGCCGCTCGTTTTCGTGTGCGCGCCGGGTCACTCCGGATGTGATACGCCGAACCCGACTGGTGGCCCGGCTCTCCGATGACCCACTCCCCGCTCGTCGTCGTCGAGCACGATGCCGAGCGGACCATTCTCGGTCAGAGCACGTAGCGTGTACCGATATGTCTCTTCTTGTATCCGGTCCTTCCGTGTTCTCAACATCGCCCAGAATGGCGTACTCGGCTTCTTCCGCGCCACGTGTAGACTTCGCCGTCATCATCATTAACATCGCGAGCCACAGCTCAACTCACTTCTGGCCATGATGGTGGTCTTCAAGAGGTTCACAAAGCATGATATGATTCCACCCTTCTTGAATAGCTTGAAGCGCCTGCTACATGTCAAAAGCACGCCACTATTCAGCTCCTCGGTCACGGCGATTACGTGGGAAACGCACGGGCTGACCGACGATTCACAACCTCTTCCGCGCTTGCACGAGCGTCCGGCGGTCTTGCTCATTCATCCCGGATCAGTATAACACCTGTCGACGTAGGTAAACGCCAGCTTACCTCCTACCTTCATCTCAGTACGCGACTTACACAATGGCCCCAGTAGCTGTGCGTGCACGCATTTTTCGATCTCAGTGCCCCTATTCCGCGTGCTAAAGCTCGTGTTATGTCTGTTCACAGCTTACACCCACCGCGCGCTCGCCCGTCCCAGTACCCAGCGCTAAGCTCACACCCACAATGGCGAGCACTGCATCACAGTCGATGCCCGACGCGCTCAAGTCGCCTCACCATCCTCGGCCGACGGAGCGCGTATCATCGGCACCGCGCGCCGAGTTCGCGTTCGATGATATGGAAGATGCACTCGCCAGTTTCGCTGCTGGCGAATTCCTCGTCGTGATGGATGACGAGGGACGCGAGAATGAGGGCGATCTCATTGTTGCTGCCAGTGCGATCAGCACGGAGCAAATGGCGTGGATGATCAAGTACACCAGGTGTGTTCAACCAAACATAGATGGTGTGTTCAGGAGACTAACAATGGATTGTCTTCCAGCGGATATATCTGTATTGCGCTACCTGGCGAACGCCTCGATGACCTGCAAATACCCATGATGGTTCCCCTCAACGAAGAGAGGCACCGAACAGCGTACACCGTCACAGTCGACTACCGACACGGCACCAGCACCGGCATCTCGGCGCACGACCGCGCCTTAACCGCCCGTGCACTCGCCTCGCCACACACCGCACCAACCGACTTCGCGCGTCCAGGACACATGGTCCCTCTGCGTGCGCGCACTGGAGGTGTCCTCACGCGAAGGGGCCACACCGAGAGTGGCGCAGATTTGTGCGAGCTTGTGGGGTTGCCGAAAGCAGGGTTGTTGTGCGAGCTGGTGAACGATGACGAGGAGGGGAGCATGATGCGGAGGGACCAGTGCCGTGCATTCGCGGACCGGTGGGGGATCAAGATGATTAGCGTCGAGCAGCTGGCGAGATATCGCGCGGAACGCGAGAAGGCTGCATAGGATGTATGCGGAAGGAGCAAGGGCGCAAGGTGGTGTACCCTCACATTGTACAATCTACTCAATGATGTCTTGGGTGTAATGTAGGGCTCAGGCTGGCAAAATAGAAGAACGCACCTCTCACACGCAGTCGTATGTGGTCTGAACCAGGCTAACAGCCCCGCGATCCTCATGGTCACGATATGAGTGTGCCTAGGACACCTGCCTGAGTTTTGTCACTGCTCATGGAGCTCGCCTGTCTTCATCTTGTGAGAGAGGTCGCCGGAGTGTGGCACAACCTACTCGCGGGCGTTGAGTGCCATGATATAGCATGCTACATATGCCGCTCAAGGTGGAAAGGGGCCATAAAAGCCTGGCCATCTGTATTCTAGTGTCTCTTTGACGTCGTCTGCCGCATCGAGGGCGTCACAGCCTGCAGCTTACGCTTCCACCGGACACTTCTCCGTAGCCCACTTCTTCACGCCAGGCGCCAATCCCGCGGCTCCACTGTCCCGCCCAAGGAATGCACAGCATTTCCGCGGCCCGCGAAGCATTCTAGACGTCGTCGAGGGCCAAGAACGTCTGCAGCAAGCGGGACCAGAGTCGGAATCGAGCTCCTCGTGATGCGCTGGACGGAGGACGATGCTGGGGGAGGGGAAGACCATCTCGCCCCGATTCTCCAACGCAGCTCGTGCTCACCCTATCCAAGAACACCCTTTCTCGGAACGTCGGAGGCATGTCGTATGCCGTCGGGTTACACAGCCAAGTACATGTCGCATCTGGACTATACTGCGGATAGTTCGGAGGATTGCCTTGTTGTGCGTCGAGCTCGCCGCTCGGCGATGCATCTCGCAACCGACGATCGTAGGCCTTCCGCCGAGCGGCGTCTGTCGCGGCGGATTTCTATTGCATAGAGAAAGTGCGGGGAGTGACTGCTGAATTGCTCGCATGGAGCAACAGTACGCCGGCTTGTACTCTTTCGGGGTCAGGACTGTCGGGGGACGTCCAGTCTTGTGGGCTGTCGCTCGTTTCTTTCCAGCATATCGCCGCCTCCTTTGTATGCCAGAGCGTACTCAATGCTTATTAAAGAGTAACATGCACTTGTGAGAGTTGAGCCTCAGCAGTTGGCCCAGGCTTTGCCGCGGATATTCAAGTTCACGTTTCACTCAGACACAAGAGTATCAGCCCTCAGCTGGTAGTTGTCAACACTTCTGCATCCGCCGATAGGCTTCCCCATTCGGTTCCTTCATCACCTCACTATCAGCTAAGGTCTCCGCAAGGGAGCTCGGACAGTAGCAATCCCCGTCGAGTCTTGTTCGAACGTGCCAGCCATGGGCGCGCTTCATCTTTGAGAAACTCTCTTCTGTCAGCGAAAGCTTGGCGTACACGATACAGCCCGTTGCTGATGATAACAGCACTCCCATCTTTGCTGGTTGTACAAAAACACCTAGGTTGTCAACCTCGCGCAGCCTCCGTGTAATGCAGAGAGCGTATGTTCTGGCTTCTCTGTTGGTCTCGGCGTCGATATCGATGTCGGAAAAAACCGGCGACCCTGCAGCGGTTCGCCCATCTCCCCGAGATATTACGCACAGGTTCACTTGGCAAGGAATGCAGTCCTCATACGACGCAAAGCAGAAAACGGCCCTCCCTGGGTGTCCAGAGGAGGAGCACATCTTGGACCCATAGTCAGCTGCCAGGCCCTGTGCTCGCCTTTAGCGGCTTGTTGATGCGCCTCGCGTGGATGCCACGCTACTTCTCCGCGCCTGCGCTTCCGAGTACGCCGAGCCCAAGTTCAACTTGTCTCCCACCATGACGAAGATTTACAAACTCAGCCATGCTTTTGTCGCGTTTTCCATGTGTTGCGAGTCTACTTCCAACGATAACATACTGCTTGGCGCGGCTTGGTAGAACAACAACAAGAGACAACGTCCCAGGCGTCCGCGCCTCGTCCGGCTCGTCATTGGCAACGAACCCCGATGGGATCCGTTTCAGGGTTGTGGCCGCGGCTGTCCGCTTCATTGTGGCGTCGGAAAAGCAAGCGGCCTTCTTGGCGCGCCATGTTCAACGCTAGAAGCTAATATGATCCTCCGGTCTTCAACGTTGCTTCCAGCACTCCCGCACGCGAGGTCTCCTCAGCCTCTCGACACTGCACATGTATCGCTATCGATACTGGATGACTTTCCACAGGCGTTTGGATCGGCCAGTCGTTTCCAAACTGCT